CGCTATTTTAAAAAAGTGTTTACAACTGTTTACAACTGTTTAAGACTGTTTAATTACATTTTGTATACGCAAAATCCAACTGTATTATCTGTATTATCATTGTTGTAAACACAGATGCGCTCTGAAAAATGTTATATTATTACAAAATTGTGTTAAGTTCAATTTAATAAAGAAAGAGAAAAGAAAGAGGTTCAAGCATTACAGATATGACGTTGAAAGTATTTTCATGATAACGTTAGCTCCACCAGATGCCGCGATAATACTACATATTCGGAGCTACCACTGATACGCCAAGTGATGTGCGATAACTTAAAATCTTCCAGCGCTGTATTCCACTCCACGGAGTTTGGGTTAATGAAGTAAAGGATTAAAAACATATTTTGCTTATCATTACAATATTTCGGTTGGTTGGTTTCTGTGTGATGAGATGTCAATAATTTCAGAAACAAGCACGCAAATATATAATTTATAGCACTAACATATAACTTAAATTAAGAATTTAAATTTTTACTTTTGGGGAAGATTATTTCTATGAATAGAGTGTTTATTTTTGAAGCGTTTGCGTACTTACCCATATCACAGGATCACATTTTTGGGATCACACTTTATATGCGATCATGGAACTTTATCTCCTCTCAAAAGTGTAACCATTCACATTTGGTTGCTAGGACATTAGACCTTCTCCAAAGGAGAAACATTGCATACAGATAATTGAGCGAAGCATATATGATCATCGTTTTAACCTACATACACATTTACACTATTGCTCATATGCAATTAAAAACATTACGATCTATCCACTTTCGCTTTTGTAAAAATACGGTAAATTTTCTTAGTTTGATAGCATAACGGGTATTTCATGTCGCCAGAAACCGAGCTACAAAAATGGAAAGTTTCTTTTTCCAGAGGCACGGCATTTTTATGCACACGCATCTCACTAGATCTGTTATTGAAATAATAATATTAATACGCGTACGCGTATTCTTAATTAGAGTAAAATATGGCAAAAAGACTCAACTCATTGTCAAAGGGAAAAATTTCTTTTCCCTAAAAATATTCCAATAAGTAGAAAAGATCTAAAATGAAAAAATAGACCGACATAAACCATATTCAGTAGCCAAAATACGGCGGTGGACCGAATTTCATTAAAATATCGCAGAAATTACGATCTAGAGCTTGAACACAAATTCATATGGGCAGACATTGGACGGACGGACTGGCAGATAAACGGACAAAAGTACAAACGGAAAGACGGAAAGGCGAAGAGCAAGGCTCATTTGTAATTTTTCCGGCCATCACCATAAAATGATGCGTTCGCAAGAGGGAAACTTGAGAGTATATACATTCCTGACCAGCATCTAATTATAAATCGATTTATGTACGTCCGGCTGGCTGTCTGCCCATCTATGTAATCTTTGTTTTTATTTATTAATAACTGCATTCTTATGTGGAATGAATATAAATAAACACTAAAAAAGCTATAACTATATAAGTATTTGAAGAGCAAAAAGATACAAGAAACCAAGGATAAGTAAAATACATCCAAATGTCATTAATTAAATAAAATGCAAAAAATAGCAAAACTAATTTAAATGAAAAAAGATATCATGACGTTTTTGAATTCAAAAAAAGGCTTCCGTTGCTTTTACACAATATAATATAAAGTAGTATTTATTTCTTTGGACTAATGCCAGTACGTCTTAAGCCCGAGAGCCGCCACCTCTTTGGTCGGTTTGCCGTCGGTATTGCATCGTTATCTTTTCCCATTTCCTGAACTGGCAATTTCCTATTGACGCCTGGTGTACTTATTTCAACAGCATTTTTAACAAACTCCCCTAATTCCGTAGTCTCGGTTTGTCGTGAATTTGGGGGTGGCCCATAATTGAATTTTGGGTTTAATGACAACAAATGGTTTCTGCGATTTCTCATATCTTCCAGTCCAGCAGAAACAAGCGAAATTCCTGGATTATTCACCTTGCCCACTTCATCTCGATTCACTTTACTTTTCACTTCTTCCGATTCGTTTTCAATAGAAATTTCACACACGCCACGTTTTTGTCTTCTCCCAACTCCGGCCGTTCTCCGGATTAACTTAAATGTTGTCTCTTCACAAATTTTAAAAACAACTTACTTTGATTTACGTTGTTAGTGTCCTCTTTCTCGGTATCGTCATAACCTCGATCTGAAGCTTTTCCTAAAAAGAATGTAAAAAGTAAGACTTGTTAAAAAAAGCCTATGAAGAGCCACTTACTTTCTGGCGTACGATCGTATAAAAGAGCCGATTTTGCCTTTTCTATAAATTGACGGCTGTGGTTTTTTTTAGGTTTTTTCGGTAATACAAATAAAGGGGATCGCTCCAAATTCCTTAACTTACTCTCGGGTGACACTACAGGGCTGTTAAAAGGCGATGTAGAAAAGTCCTCAAATATATCCACAATTGTTTTTTTTGTTGTTGTCATAATGACCTCCTTCTGGAGCGTCTATGTTTTTTACTTCTTTCATCGTATCTTCCGCTTTATCACAACATTCGATTAACTCTTCATTAGTGATATGAAATTCATATCCACTTGTCGATAACTCAGCAGACTGTGACAATAATTCATGGCAAGACGTAAATTTTTGCGAGCTTGTCAAATTGTCAAAATTGGTTATTGTCGTTTCGTATCGACCCACACTTTTTTTTAAAGCGACTAAGTGACTTTCTTCACCTTCATTGTTTTCTTTATTTGATTCCATTTTTCAAAACTTGAATAAATTTTAAAAAAATTTGTTTTTTTTTTGGACATTTGAATATACTTTTTACAATTGAATAAATTTAAAAAAAAAAAATTGTTTTTTTGACAGTTGAATACACATTTTGCAATTTTTCGTCTTGCTGACACAATTTAGGGTTGTTAAACTTTGCTAATGCGTTTGATAATCGTTAATAATACGTATCACGTAACTATTGCCATATATTAAGTGTAAGTACTCTTTATAATGCGGCGTATTATTCATTACTTTGCGTTTTGAAATGCAAATAAAAAAAAAATTAATAAAGCTGTGAAGGAGAAAATGCAAATTTTTGTGCAATTGCCTGCTTGTCTACCTATTGAATAAAGGGCTTCTAGCGGATTTTATAAATTCTTGAGAACATACATATGGCTTTACTAGAAATATACATGACCTTATTGAACAAATGCATATATATTTTAAAATGTGTTGCATGTGTTTCGAAATTTCGAAATTAAAGTTTGCTTTCTTACCGAGTTTATTAGAATGCAAGGTCTTTAGGTGAGGTAATCATTAAATAGGATGGTTGAAAAAGGAAGCCTAGGAGATTCGTCTCTTTACGTACTCTTAGTAAATGCTTTTAAAAGTCAAGGACTCACTCATTTCATTTGATTAAAAACATATATAATATTGCTTTAATTATGAACAAGTCAGCATTATACTTGGAGATTGTATAGGAGAACTATATTTTCCCGACAGTGTTATTTGAAGTTTGGATGTTATCAGAGTGTTTGTAAACGGCCTAAACATTGAATGACTTTTATACAAACCTAGGCTCCGGCAACTCTGAATCTGTAAACGCGTTATTTACTTCCATTGGTATGTATATATATGTGAAACACATGTGAAAACACATATACAAAAAATAGCATGTAAAAATGAAATCCCATAACTTCTCCTAGCAATTCGTTAACATCTTGGTTAAGTTTTCATTTCCTCTGAATCGATGAGTGAGAGGAAATATTGTGCTTAAGAAGGCTTACCTAAACCTAAGAATGATGAAAAAGATGTTTAGAAAGGAAATTGTGAAAGAGGAAAAGAAATTTGTCCCGATAGGATGCCGTGTTGAGATGGCTGAGAAAAAGCCGAGTAGCCCTGCTAAAGGACTTTTTTGTAGACGAATCTTTTAGATTTCTGGAGGACAAATGCCAAAGCCCCATAGTTTGTTGTTTTGGATACAATTGCGCTGCTCTTATGCATCCGGAGTCTTAGCTATATATATATATATATACACAATATAATATTTCAGTCCCGGCATTGTTCAATCGAGTTTCTTTTGTTGTTTTGTCTTCGAGACTCACACTGTCGTAATAATTATCTTCTGTATAATCCATTTCGGGCCTTTTCTGTTATGATAAATTTTTTTTTCTATGAAAGTCGCCCTGAAACATAGTGACAAATATGGAATCAAATAATAAAAAAAAAAAAACTGAGGTATCATAAGCGATGCTGTTTGTTTTTATAACAAAAGGTACGTAAAGTTTTCGTGGAGTGTGGTGTATATGAACAGAAAACAAACAAAGAAGAGCGGAGAGGTTTATATAAAATTAGTGTAAGCAAAGAAAAACAAAAGACAAACTGATATTCGTAATGAGTAGCAAGCAACGGTATATGGTGGATTCTGCAGATCGGTCATATGCGAATCGAGTAAAATCGGATTCCCCCGTATAAACTGTGATTGATCCCAAAATTAGTGCTAAGTAAACGAAGCTCTTTGGCTTGCAAACTGTGACTGTCAAGATGATCGGTTTCGTCAAGCCATTCTAGATAAGTTTGCATGTATTGTACCACTGCAAATGATGGGGATCTCCAGCAATGATTACCTGGCCACGCTCTTTTGATACTTGAGCAACAGCAACCATAATTTTAGTTTCTGTGCATTGGCCGACGTCATCAATTAGCACATGCGTAAAATGATTGGGTCGAAAGCCCATTTGCAAAAAATTTCCTACAGTGGTTGCTTGCCGATACAAAAAAGTTGGCCTATTTCCTTCTCAGCTCCCTTTACTCTGCTTTATCTCGTTGATTTGCTACTAATCTTCTCAGCCTCCGATTATGTTTTCTTAAAGCGTACTATCCTCTTTAAAAGATTTCCCTCACGAAAAATATTGCTGGCTTTCTTCGCTTCTATTTTGCTGTTGCTCGTGCTGCTTTCACAAGTTTTCGTTTTTTTTTAAATATCCGAAATTATTTAAGTATGTTTGAGGGCAAATTGGGAGAAAAAATTTTTTATAACGAAAAAAAGTGAATTTAAGCGAGATTTTTATTTTATAAAAATCACATTTCATAGTAGTGGTTATGTACAATTACAGGATGGGCTGGTTGGCGACCGTTTCTTCGGCGCGCACGCTTGCGTCTGGGCGTAGGCGCTTCTTCCCTCGTCCCGACATTATTACCAATCTTGCGGCGTCCGTTTGTTCGGCGTCTACGCCCGCGTCTGGGCGTAGGCGCTTCTTCCCTCGCCCCGCCATCGCTTGTGCGGCCGCGGAGGCGTGCCTGAAATCACACTCGGTCAGAGGTGGGCGAATTGGCGAATGAGGGCGCCGTCTTCTAGGTTCTCCCTCTTTTATGTTCCCACGCGAATCGGCGTCCGAGTGACGGCAACTACGTCGCCACTCATCTCTCATTTTTCCTGAAATAGTTGCTATTGAAAGAAAAATAAATAAATAAAAATAAATAATTAAAAATAAATAAATAAAAATAATACAAATTATTAGAAAAAAAAAAAATTTCACATCTTACCTTTGCGTTGGCCATTTTGGTTTGAAATGACATTTCTGCGCTCGCTTCCAGCGCTGCAAAAAAAAGGAATTCATTATTCAATTATCGCGGGATTGGTGAAATGGCTGTGGGGTATTATTGGGAATGGATTTGGTTGGTTTGTATTGGAATGTGGGATGTTCGGCAGATTGGCCATTTCTAAATTACGCCGTAGCCGACTGATGTACGATTTCTAATTTTCGGGTATTATTTAAATGTTATCAATCGTTTAAAAAAAGGAACTTATGTAAAAACAAAATTGAAATCCTTCAATACGACTCTGTGCGTGCGAAAAATTTAGATAGTTTTGAGGTTAGGAAAAAAGACATTTCCTATGTTAATGGAAAACAACAACAAAAAATCCAACAAGAAAAATTGAACAAAAAACCGAAATAAAACTGAAATAAAAGTGAACAAAATTTTGGAAAAAAACTAAAATAAAAGTGAACCAAATTGTGAAATAAAATTGTGAAATAAAACTGAACAAAATTGATCAAAAAACTGAAATAAAAGTGAACAAAATTTTGGAAAAAAACTGAACAAAATTGTGGAAAAAAACTGAAATAAAAGTGAAAAAAAAA